TTATTTTTGTTTTTTTGTTGGTGGAGGGGGGGGGGGGGGTGGGGGGGGGGGGGGGGGGGGGTGGGCTTAAGATCTGACTTTTATGGAAATTTCATTACAACAACCTCGTATCATTTTTTTGTGTTTTTTTTACGTCATCAGTACTTGGTTAGGTCAAAAAACTTTTGGCCCATCAACGAAAACCTTGCCCATTTTGCCCACCATGTTTTTCTAGCTCAAGAAAGATTTGCCCATTGGTCTAAAAATCCTGGCTACGCCACTGTTCCCAACATGATTGATTAGAATTATTCATCATAAAATTACAAAAACGTAATATTATAGCGCAATACAGTTATTTTTGTAGATGATGTTTACAAATGGTAAGTACTGGTAGTGGGAATCAGCTCATGTTTTGAAAGATATTTTGTTTAGTTGCAAAAAAAAACCCTAACTATGAAGCATTCTTTTATATATGATAGAAGGAAGAGGCATACCTGTATGATAGATTGCATTGATTTTTGATTGAATAAGAATTACTATCTGTTGACGTCACATAAACACAGAAACGGATGGATAAAACCAACCGTTGCATGGTTGATCGACTCTCCATATCGAAGCAATCTTACATATCAATTTTTTAAATTTCTGTTCTTCATGAAAGACTATGCTTGTTTCTTGCGTTACAAAGTTGAATATATCGGATTCTTTCATTCATACAGCGTATAAATTTGTTCATTCCAATGGAATCTACAAAGAATCAACAAAGATTTTGCCATCTTTGCTCTTGAGTTGTGGATCACAATGATGACAAGCGAAGTTAAGTGAAATGAACATTATATAAAATATGAGAAAGATTGCAAAACAACTGATATTGATCTGATTATTCTATTAAAAGAAAGAAAATAAACAACATAATTAAGATTGAAGTCAAAAGAGTACAGAATGATGAAAATTTTAGTTCGCATTAAAACTATTGCCAATTACTATCAAATAAAGAGACATTATTCACTCTTAATTATAAAATTCCTGTAAAACCTTATTCATACATCAAATATACTTCTTCTAACAGAACTATGTTTTTCTTTTTGATTTTTCGGATATATATTGTTGGATGTGACAGTTACGAGCTACAAATAGATGCAATGAATTTCAATTCCATGAATGAATTATATGATAGATTACTCGTTGAAAATACGATTTGAATTATTTCGTGAAAGTTGCAAGGACTAATTCCAAGTCAATAAACATTTTCTAGTAATATTACTTAAATATTCATTAAATCAACAATAGTTCTATAGATTTAAATAGCAAATAAAGATAACTCGAGGATTTGTCATCTGTTCACCGATGTTGAACTAAAATATCAGAAATGTGTTTTCTGTCAACTTAACTAAATGATCACATAATAATTTATCAGTTTCATATGAATTCTGCTGTAACTATTTTGAATTCGATCCAAATATATAAATATATTTCTAATTAAAATAAACAGAATGAAGATATCGTTACGCTAATAATGTCGACGAACACTTATGATTCTTACTAGTTCTAATAAAAAAAGACTATATAACAAATATGATTCTAGCCACTAGTTTATAAGAATGGAATTAATTTGATCTATAGTTGGTAGTAAAATAAAAAGAAAAAAAAATATTTTTTAAATTATTACTTACTGTACAATTCAATGTTGATATGCATCTATAATAAATCTGAATAAAAAAATCATTTTAATAATAGTTACTATTGATTTTGAACTTGAGATTGATCTGAAATTAAGAAAAATAAAGTCATTTATGTAAATACTTGCCACTCAGTTCCATGTTGATACTGATCTAAAAGGAAGAAAAAAATTATTTAAATAATTACCATTGATTTCGATGTTGAGATTGATGTAAAATAAAGAAAAAAATTGTTTTATTTAAATAAACACTTAATGTTCATTTTGATCTTACGATTAATTTGGAATTAATAAAAACTATTATTTAAATAAACATTGACTATTGACTCGATGTTGAGATTAATCTAAAATAAAGAAAAAGATTCTTTATTTAAATAAATAGCTACTGTTCATTCGTACATAAGATTGATCTAAAATAAAGAAAAAAAATTGTTTAAGGGGAACGGGTGTCTCTCCAAACATATCCTCAAATTTTGCTCATATATAGAGGATACCTTCAGTGGTATCTCTATGCAATAAAAAATGGGTTGGTAAATATTTGACTGAGTTATTAATTAATCAAGTTGAATATTAATTACATATTTTATATAAAAAGGTATTTTAAAAAAGTCTAGTGTTTAGAATGAATGTTGGTTTCATGTGATTCTGGTTTCATTTTATAAACAGCTATTTCTACATATAAATTAAAGTAAAAGAAATTCAGAAACCTTTTTTATAGTTTAATTATTAATTAGCCGCGATTAATCCTAACTGGTAAGATGCTGCTGTAAAAAATAATATTTCCTAATGTCAAAATGGATAGAAAAAAATCGTTGAATATGTAATTCAATAGCGCTTTTCAAGCTCTATCAATTGCATCATAAAGTTTCTTATTATGATGGTTTTTTCTCAAGAGAAAAATCTATTTTAAAACATTAATAGTATCGTAGTGGTGGGGGCTTTTTCGGTCATAAATAAAAACAATAATTAATTATCTCTAAGACGCGTGTACCAAGAGTTTTTTCGTATGGAGAGAGTTGTTATAATATCGTTGCATATGTTTGGCCCTATGTAATCAAAAATTATTGAACAGACCGCGGTTTTCTCCAAAACATTTTTTCGTGGACAGTCACATCCACAGCGATACCTATACCTTCATCCGCACCCACACCCCAACTGTCTTCTATAGTGTTAAAAATACAATGAAATACAGATATACAATCTCAAAAGTAAACAGTGACGTACGATGGGGTCAAAACATGATTTCCTTCTTCACCTCAAGAAAAGATTCAATAACAGGCACGTATCCAGAAATTTTCTGAGGGAACGACCCAAAATTCTTAGGGGAGGGACTAGCATGGCAAAATTATTTTGCGCTGCACACAAAACTTTTTCTAGTATCTTCTACTGTTTTTTCTTCGGCTGAGAGGAACTCGGGTCCCATGGCCCTTTCTTTTCGATACATGTCTGTTCAATAAGTATATAAATGTATTGATATAACAATATTCAATCAACACAACAAACGATTACGCAGAAAATAACAAGTTACTTTAGACAAATATAAGTACGGTCAAGACAACGTTACGACCAGATTATAAGTGGTTCCAACACTAATATCATTGTATTTAGATCTTAGCCACACAATACAAAAATTCTTCGCAAATTTTAGCTTGTGTTTTAATTTTCATTGCCGTAACTACAAGTGAGATAATTATAGAATTTTCTTTTTTTTCCTTATATTCTTTCTAACTGTACAAGACCTACAATATCATTATACTAGATTCTGCTTTTGGTGCTCCAAATCATGATAAAGATGGCTTAGACATGGCTGATGCCAAAGAAATTCTGTCTGCACGTAGTTTTACATGTAATTCGATTACTGGTGACTTTCTTTGAACCGAATGGCCTGCTAGCTGGAGATGTCAATGTGGCTGAGCTTGTTATAACGGCGTTTGCACATGTAAACGTTGTATATAAATGAAACTTCCATAGAAGAACAGTGATGGTATCGAAATGATACTGACTAATAGAGCTTTTTCCTCTTTTTTTCCTATTTGAAATCATACCTACATTTTCGAATGTAATACTTCAATTACATCGAAATAAAAATCATTTTCTCTTATTTATCATAGAGTCACTTTGTTTGCACTCGTCTGTGAGAACAAATATCATTAGTTGATGGGATGCGATAAAATATTAATGAATCCAATTCAATGCAGAGCAGACATCATGAGATATATGAGCCATACGCATATTTTGTGTGCTGAAGCTGTAGCATAGCTAGAGAGAGTCAGAATATTTCGAACTCGATGAGAGGATTCACTCACGAGCTGATTGAAATTCTGACTTGGACGGTGAGAAGCTTGCAAAAAGTCGCAGATCCAAACGTTCTTCTACAGCGATGGAAACCTGATTAGTCACAATTCTTGATTTGATTGCTAATAAACCATTGGCTTGCATATATAAACTATTCAACCATTTTTTTTTAGGGCAAGAGTTTGTTGCTGCAGTTTTACATGGACAAACAATACCGAATCCATATAGTTCTTGCGACGTGGGAAACTAAGACCTTCTTTTGAAGCGTGCCGCACGTAGTATGCCAATAATAGTAGAGTAGTGTGGTTATTCTTTTCTCACGCATCCACACCCACGCACCCACCCTCGAAAATGGATTTTTAAGACTCTATTATTTTTATCTTTCATTTTTGATAACCACTCGAATAGTTTATCTTCCTACTGAGTAATACCATATTTTCTGTTTTTTTTATTCATCAGATAAAAATTTTACTAAATCCATATGACATTGTCTTATGTTGGTGATTATGAATGCTTGAATCTTCTTCCATAAAATTAGCTTTACCCTTACTCGACACAACGTTGTTTGTGCTTGTACTAAAAATAGCCTTGATCTATATTTTATTCTCGAGAAAATCATCCTAGAAAATACAATATTTTGATATCAATGTTACGAGGAAGTACAATATAGAAAGTGTCAATGAAGTTTTAGAATTCGATGCACTTTTTAAAAAGTCCATGTTATTGATAATAACAAACTGTTAAATTAGTCAAATTTAATTGATACTGCGAGTTCTTTTGGTACAACTGCCATTCGTTGTAGGTGACCATCATTGTTGTTGGGTGTATCAACAAATGTAACAAACTGCATTAAACGAATAATAATCGCTTTTAATTCTAACTGAGCTAAGTCTTGTCCAATACATGCTCGATGTCCACCACCAACTGGAGCAAATACAAATGGATGATGATTAGCATCGGGTGCATCAACACCATAAAATCGTTCAGGAATAAATTCAGTTGGATCTAATTTCCAGTTTCTAGGATCACTGTGCATAAAAGAAAATGCAGATATACTGTTTCTCCTTTACGTAATTTGATTCCATCAATAACAGTATCTTGAGTAAGTGTTCGAAATGAACCAAGACCAATCGGTGATAGTCGTAATAGGTCTTTAATGACGCAATCTACGTACTCACACTTATCTAATAGATCAAAATTATCCAAAGATGTTTCTTTTGTAATGCCATTCTCTTGCAACTCCTCTTTTATTTTTTGTTGGACATTTGGCTTCTTACTGAAATAAAACATAAGCCAAGACAAGACAGTAGAAGTTGTTTCATAGCCACCTAGAATCAATCCCAATACTTCATCCAACAATTCTTTTTTCGAAATTCCTGTTTTTTTCTGTTTCACATTTCGACTGTTCCAAAACTTCATCCTTTTGTAATGATGATACTAATGATGCAACAAGATTGATTGGTTTCTTATTTAGATCAGTTTCTTGTTGACATTTGGCAATAATCTTTTCTGCATAATTTTCTAGTGTTTTTAAAGCTTTCTGATATGTTCTATCGAATTTCAATAAATAATAATTAACAATCAGTGGCATTCCATTGACTGTAACGCGTTTAAATCCGTTAAGCCATATTGACAATGCTTGGCTAAATTCAGATAGCTTAGATTTTTCTCCTCTATTAGATAAACTAGCAGCTTCCGATAAACGCTTTAAATTACCAAGATCGTAATCAAATGTGAGTAGTGTGAACATATCCAACATTAGTTGCTGATTATCATCAACTAAACATGTACAAATAGCATCCTTTTTGTTTTCAAATCTTTGTTTCCAAATACTGATCAAATGATCTACGCAATCAGTCATTATTGAAATTTGTGATTTAAATTTATTTTTTCTAAGCATCGGCAAAATTGCTTTTGCGTGTCGTTTATAGATCGGACCACTAAGTGTTATTATTGCACTTTCCACTATTAAACCGAATGTTTTTGTTCGTATTTCAGCACGATCAAATAAATGACGGTTTGCGTAGATTTGTTCTGCATGTTCAGAACGGCAAAATACATAAAAATGATTAGACCCATCCAAAATTGAAAAATATCTCCAAATTGCTTTTGCATACGTACAAAACTATGAATGAATGAATCGATTGGAACTCTCTTTGATGCAATAATACCAACCTGACGAGCATTGCCATATGGAAATTCGGGCTCTATACCAGGCAATGGACCACGTAGTATAAGGTACTTCCATTTTATGTAGAAACAGATCACACTGAACAATACTACGATCGATGATAATAAGATAGTTAAAAACATAATCTAAAAGTTCAAATTAATTTCGATAACAAGAACAACGGAAATATCACATGATTAACAAAAACTTTTGAATACTCGTAGTGACAATAGAGAGACAAGCAAGAAAGAAGCTAGTTAGGTTCTGTATTCAAGTGTACATAAGACTTGTTTTCTCAAAGTATTTTCAAGCCGAAATAAAGTCATATATATATACTTTTGTTGTGTTAGTATTTGACAACAAGGAGGACATCATTTTATGTTCGAACAATAATAATCTTTTCATTTTTTCAATGCACATCGAAATCTGGAGATTTATGTTAATGATTTCGATAGAAACGACGACAATGTGAGATAGTATTTGTGCTAACTTTGTACACCAGTACTGGTTGATAAAATTGAATAAGAAATGACATCCTATTCGGTCGAGCAGTTCTTATAGACGGATCCGATCAATAGATCTTGACGTTGCAAAATTGTGTTCTGTTAGACACAATCGACTGAAAACTAAAATGATTTTACCTGAGAAACGAGCAAAACTTGCATGTCGTGCATGCTGTCTCGCTGTAATCTATATGTCATCAGAGAGAACATGTAATGAAATCTATTTGAAGCAAACGAAAAGAACGAAGGGTAATGCGCATATCACTGGGGACAGAAAAATAAGAAAAAATAAGATTGAGGTTTACTGCGTGTTGATATTTGATTTTGAATATATATATATATATACGTACATAACAAGAAATGGGATGAATCTGTTCTTCGTCCCCATACGCACTAAAGATACATGATAGAAAGGTAAAGATAATATGTTAAGATGACAAAACAAAAAGACAGAAGAGAGAACAGCTCAAGGAAGAAACATGATACTTCTGTATTTTAAAGTACGCAAAGTATGAAATATCAAGTTTCTTCATTGCAACAGCTGCATTCGTTACTGGCCAGGATAGTATAATCATTAGTTGACTTTCTAGCTCAAATTCGTGACAGTTTCGTGCTAGAGTTTTGAAAGACCAAACAACAAATCTATACTAATGCGTCTCTTTTCTCCTCAGGAATGTTTTCACCATTATGAACACTAATACCGAGACTTACACCTTCACACTACGCTTCAAATATCACACAGTTCACACCCGTTCATCCTCAAGTGATACGAGAGAGTACTATCAATATGAAATTCTTATTGTACTGATCCGTTTATTGCTTAGACATAACTATGTTATTGAAATGAATCTCGAACAAAAAAAAATCGGTCGTTACAATGAAATAATTCAAAGATGATAAACTACTGGTTTGCTCTTATTTGCCTGATAAACGTCTGATAACTCGACATATAGTTTGATGATATTATTCATACGATCGAGCAGAATTTGCCGATCATGATCATGCTCGTCGAGACTGTTAATCATTTCCTGAATATTGTAGCTGCACCAAAATGCATTTCTACGATTGTAAAATGGACGACTGTCTTCACCAGTTCCAAAAACTTCCTTTAAAATTTGAATATCATACGGCATCTTAAAGCGATCACGACTATCTTCGTAGCTGAAAAGATAATAGAAATTTTTGTAACCAGCCCAAGTAATAGCCGAAAGGCAAAGCGAACAAGGTTCATGAGTACTAAGAAAGATACAATCTTTTGAATTGGGCAAGTTAGATTGATCCTTTATTTCCCAAAGTTTTTTTGATTACATGTACTTCACCGTGCCAAAGTGGATTTTTTACTTCATTATTAGCTTCAGCAATAATAAGCGAAAGGTCCGATTTTTTAAGAATAGCTGCGCCAAAAACACCATTGCCTTGTGTAATACTCTCTCGAGTCTTGGGCAAAATATCTAGTTCAATGACGGTGAAAAACCGACTAATTAGTTCGACACTATTCACCTGAAACAGACATAAAAGATTATTTCATTTAGACAATTTCAATATAGTCTACTATGCTTTTGTGTTTAATGTGTGCAACAACTACTGAAATTACATTCGTTTGTTCTGTTGACTCAAGTACTTCTTTATCTTCTTTCTTGTGAGAAGGATTGTTGATTGTGACTTTTTTAGTTGTATTTACAAATTTGTCGTACTGTTGCTCTTTTTTTTATCATAAGTTTTTTAAAAGGCACTAAAAAATGTGCTACAGTGTTGGCGCACACAAAATCATATTCGTACCCTCAACTTTTACACTTGTCGTTCGATCAATTCATCAATTTCGAATCATATTCAAATAGCAGATTGTTCTCGTCGTCAAATATAGTAGTTTCTATAGGTTAACTTTACCAGTACTGCTGAAGTTTTCGGATGAACAAAAGTTTTCACAAAGCAGAATCATACCCACAACCTACGCTATACTCTCCTTCAGGAAGTTAAAACAAATTTTTACAACCTAAATATTTTTTGTTGTGCTAGTTTTAGTCGTGAATTTCTTCGTACTGACTGAAAAATTCATTCACATATATGTATTAAATACTTTTGATAAAATCATTCAAATTGTTTCATCATGTACGCAAATAAAAATAACTGATAATGAAGATCATCTTGTGTCAAGTGAATCATTTTGATTTGCTTCATTCGAATTACTTGTTTGTGTACTTTTAAGCTGTTATACAAATATAGTTGGTGATTTACAATTAAATTCAATACTTAAAGTGAAACTATATATAAAACCAAATTGATATAATAAAAACAATAATGAATTAGATTGTTGGTGTCGATTAAGATTATCTCAATTCAAACCCATGCCGAGCCATGTTGAGATCCCAAGTAGAAATAATGAACATACACAACAATCTTATTTTTCAGTTCTACTAGTGATTAGAGTATTAATAATATTAGCAAATAAAAACAATTGGAGTCAAAAAAAAATCGAAAATTGATATCTTGCGAAGAATACCAAGAAAAATTAAAAGTAACGTGGTGGTAAAAAAGTAAAAGAAAAAAAAATCCTCTTCGAAGTATACAAATAAGCAAAACAGACTGTTTTTCTGACTAACGATTACTCTTGGAAGGTTGTTATAGTATGTCAAAGTTTTTTTTTCTTTTTTTGTATTTTGTATTCGTTCTATAAAAGATGTGCGATTTGAGAAGGATACCATCAAAATAGGTTTTGTTTATTAGCAATAGCACAGGAAATAAAGATGTAGTGAACACACACGAAAAGAGTTTATAAATCGGCATATTCGATATCTTAAACGGGCTTGAGGATGTGGATGTGTGAATATATATTGTACAGGAGAGCCACAAGCACACCCTACACCCAATTTGTCAAGATGTACTGTTGCAGAAAATTGTGAGCGTATACAACGAATTCCTTTGCCAGTTAAATCAATACTTAAAATTAAAGGAATGTTGAGATAAAAAAAAACGAAATATAAAAAAAACAATGACGAGGAAACAAAGAAGAGCAAACATAATTTACTGCCGGTAGAGGAAACCTAATCGAAGTTCAGATATACAAAAAAAGCTATCCGTATCTTCGGCATTCATTTATTGTGAAATGCTATTAGAGTCAGCTGGATATTTTGCACCTTCTATATCTCTTAGTAGCATTATGGGACTAAAAAAATACTAAATTCTATATATATATTAGTTCCACAGGAACTGGATGTGGGTGTAACTTCGGATGAACTGTAGATCAACGTATACACAACTTGTAGAATTGCTTTCGATCTCTTGAATTACTTGATTTCAAAGAGTTCCATCGTAGTTAAGGCTTGTAACCTAATATCTTCTATACGTTTGTTACGTTGGTTGATTTTCTTGAATTTCCTAGAATTGCGATTTCATGATTCCTAGGCAAACACAGTGAGAGTGGATTATTCTTGAAATCAATTAAATATGATTCAAATTTTAATTGGCTGTTTAGATTATTGGAAACAGAATCATTTTGAATACATTATTACTGTAAGCGATGATAATCAGTTAAATTTTGAATTCATTATTTGGACTATTCCAAACGAAATAAATTTTAATAAATTATTCTTGTAATTGCTTAAAATATAGTGTGGCCTCCCCCGATCTTGACTCATAACCATACCGATATTCACATACTTCTCTCTTGGTTGGTATAAATTGGATAAAAAAGGTATTATTGCCATCTTTGCCGAATGAAAATATGAGACACAATGTAGGTCTTCCCACTACTCCCTTAGAAACTCTTTTGTTTGATTTATTTTGTGGTAAACTAGTTCACGATTCTACACTTAGTACTTTAGAACTACAATAAGAAAGTAGTCCATATATTCAAATGAGATCTTATTGATATACAGTATTTAACCGTATATCAATGAAGTCTGCCACGTCCCATGATGGATGTGAAGACTGTCTGTCACGATCTATAATGGAGAAGAGTTGGGCGAAAATCGTGTCAATCAAGGCCCGTAAACGGAGGGGATGTCAATTTCTGCCTTATATATCGCAACATTTCTTACAGATTGTGTTTCACAATAATAGAACGACAAACCATAAAAATGCCTCCTCTTGTTTATGATCCTGAAAAGAAACATGATCACGATTCACTCACGGCATATCGCGTGAATGATCTCATCGATTCGTTGCATCCCGAACAGAAGTATGCCGTCTTCATCTGTTGTCAAGATTATCAATGCGTCCTCGATCGCATTCATGGCTTTCATCAGGTAGTTAAAATTCATGTTTGCACTGATCACTGCCCTGAACCTAATGGCATTCAATGGATGACCACTCATCAAAAAGTTGACCCATGCGATGATCCTCAATCCTGGGTATCCTTGGCTTTAATCTTGACATTGGAACCACGAGGTACTCAACAGCAAAATAATCTACGTTCGTTGCAAATGCAAGGGATCGTCTCTGCTATTCAAGTATCGCTCGATGAACCGTGTGTTAGCACACAAGAGACACATTTTGCAGATGCGTCATCCGACGAAGGTACTGAACCCGATGCAAATCCTTAATTTTTCTTGTAAAATATTATGACGACAGAACTAATAATGACAGTAATTGTTCAATACAAGTTGGACTTATCTGATCTAAATAATATGTCGTTTTAAACTCGTATTTCTATGATGACAAAATAAAATCAGAAGCAGCATAGGATGGCATATCGTCATCCATTCTAATTAGACATATTTGCTAATGAAAGAAAAGAGAAGTAGGCATCGTTAAATCAGGAAAACCAAGCAAATTCATTGGACTGCTCTCTTAGAAAGAGGATATCATAAAGAGAACAATGGAGAGTTTTAGCCTATATGATGAACTTTTAAAATATTCAACACAATTCGGTTTTATTGGAGAATAGCTTTCACAATTCATTTTCGCATATATTCGTCTCTCAACAAATGCAATTGTTGTTTTTTTTGCTCCGTTTTGACTTTTTATTTTCTCTTTTTCATTTGTTGCATCACATGCATAACTTCCTTTCTCGACGAAATCTGTAATTGCTGAACTTTGTCGTTCGTTTTCTTTTGGGTATGGATGTGATGCCTGTGTGCATGTAAATGTGGGTGAAGAGTATATTTCAATTTGCACCCACGTATCTACATCGACATCTACATCATTCACACCTTCGAAAACGAGAACATTTATACGTAGATGAAGTTATCACCAGATTCGAGTACTTGCAATCCGTATTTGCCTAGAAACTTGTTTCAAATCTCCTATCCTTGTTCTAAGTACAAGTCGATGAATATTATCGACTTGTGTACTCAGATTTGTCACAATTCAAAGTATAATTTTGTCCGACCAGGGATGGTGATGCACAAAACCTAACAATTATACTTTGAGCTGTATTGAGTCGGAGCATACCGTTTGATAGAACTTGTCAAGTTGTATTTGGAACAAGGATATCAGATTTGAACGAAGTTTCTAGGCGAACCCAGGTTGAAAATACTCGAATTTGGTAATAACTTAACCCATGTAAAAGTTATTTGTTATTTGATATACGCCAATATAAGTTTCGATGACCTTAGATAAGATAGCTATGTTATTTAAGTTTGAATTATACGTATGATTTATCTCAAGAGGACATTTAGAAAATGGGAAGGAGCGGAGAGTAAGCCAGATCTGCACAAGTTCTGATAGAGAGACAGGCAAGTCACGTGAAAATGAACATCGACTATATTTTTATCTATTTTTAAGCAGTTTCGCAAAAACAAACTTTGGAAAAATCGAGGAGAAAGGCAAAGTTCCGTCAAAACCGGGCGAATTACAACAGTAAGAAAAGAAAGAAACTAGAAGAAGGCTTTTGACTGAAAGTCTGTTATGAACGGACTCTCATTCTATTATAGTTGTCTGCAAGGTACTAAAATATAAAATATCATATATTTAAATACTAGCCTGTGCACTACATATATCACTATCAGAATAGCTCTCGAGTATATTAATATTTAGTATCTCTACGTAAATACATATGTATTTAGTAGCAGTGCTAAGTGCGTTTGCACTTGAATAAATGGTACTTGAATAAAAGTTCAAACCATCATGTTTAAGTGACAAGCATCCGTACTGGTATTTGTTCAGACTCTGATTTAAATAGAGTATATATTCATTGAAGTATATCTTGCCTTCGTAGAAAGTGCTGTGTGTAACTCATAATCTACGACAAGTTCTCTTTTTCATCTGATAAACATATTCGTAGTAATCTCACTATAAATGTTGTCTGATTGGTTCATATTGTAAGTCATATTTTTTGACACTATTGGAAACTTTTCGTAAAACAGTTTTGTACCACATACGTAAAAATCAACGTGAACTCATTGTTTGTCACTAACCAGCAGCTGATACACCATCGAAAATTGACGTGATTTTCATCAAATATCATGAGTTATAAGCAGAATTTCATTATGAACTATAGATAAGTTTATGGAAGTGCAATAGGAATAGGAAATAAAACGAAATGAACTAACTGATTATATTAAGAAGAGAATGAATTCTTCGATGGTAAAAGCAGTCATTGGTGAAAGATCTCATCTGTTTGTGTGAAGAGTTAGTTATATCAAATTATATCAACGTGTATTGGTTTATCTGCGATTAAAAATATTGAATTAATAAAGGTTTCTGAACTTAACCATAATGAAATTATCAGTCAAATATAAAATATCAAGCGATACTCTAAATAATATTTCGAAGCGTAGAGAAAAATCTACAAGTAATCGTAAATGAAACTAAAGCAATGAAATAGGAAAAAAAATAAGAAGCACTCCCAGCAACAAAGCTAATACCTATTTTAATCAATAAATCATTGAAAATAAGAGAAATATAAGCTTATGGTATGAAAGTTGATTTTGAATGAATATTTATCATTTGAAAAAGCTATACTAAAAGCCTCTTAATAATGAACACCTTTACAAGCTGCGCACTTTTTTCAGTTCCAATGGCACTTACATGAGAGCAATTTTCCTGTATTAGTTCTAGTAAAAGCATGGAATCCGATCAATAAAATTGTAGTTTCGATGAGCAGAAAAAATAAGTTCTATTTACATAAACATTAATTCAATATAAGAATGATGTAGGTTCCTGTGACAAGGAAGTTTTGAGTCATCTCTCCTCTTCCATTTTCTTCTGCTGCTTTAGATTTCTTCACTTTTTATGTATTTTTTACCAATATTATATAGATTTGACTAGTGAAATTCTTGGATAATGCCCAGAAAAATTACTATCAACATTTTTTCAATATATTATCATTATCTTTATTCTTTTCTTGAGAAGGACACTGTTTTTGCTAACTATT